CTTTGCAGAAGCCCCTCCCCAGCATGGGGCTCTCTGGTCAATGCATCCTTCTCAGAAAACAGGAGGCTTCACCAAGCAAGGCCAGGCTTCCTTGTCTGGAAGAAGGTTCAAATGGTGGACAGGCGCTGCCTGCACTCCCACCATTGCTGCAGGAGTCCTCCTTCCCATCGGCAGCCCAGGCAGCTGTATTCAGTCTCATCAAGAGACTGATTGGAAGAGTTGGTCAAAAGTCTTAGATGGAACGCTGCAAACTCAGAAAGGCCATTAGGCCATCAAATCTGACACCCTATTCTGGGCAGGAATCCAAAGTCAAGCATCCCAGAGTGATGAAGTGGTATGTGGGAAAGTTTTTGGGAGAAGGGATGCTGCCTCAGGAAAGGTCAGAGAAGAGAGGGCACGGTCCAGAGCTGCCTAGCAGTGGGTGGAGAAGAGACCCAGGAGGGACTCTCCTTAAGTTCTTTGGCAGTAAGTGTGCTGGCAGGACAACTCTTGTTAATGTAACCTTACAATAAAGTTGAGTTAGTTAATGTGGCTGTGTTTCCTGTTTGGTCTACCTTGCAAGGTTGGCAATAGCCAGCTTTCCAGCCTTCTCCCATAACTATGACCCCAAACATTCCAATAAATACAGCAGGGAATGCCTGGAAAAAGAGAGAAATGGGGGGTTCTGAAATACCCAAGTCAAAGCCTGGATCTAAATCCCACTGAGATGCTGTGGGGTGAAGTAGTGGGCCAACCTGCCTCCTGATGCAGAAGATTTAAAGTGAAGGTACAATTGAAATTAGAGGGTTTTCTTTTTGGCTTAATGGACAAACAAATCGAGTCATTTCATGGACCTTTGCTTTTACATGTGAGAATGGCACTGAGACCTTTAAATGCCCCAAAGTGGAAGGGTACACTGGAAGAATGGATGGTGAAGCTGGTGGAATTGACAGAGATGGCAAAATTTTATTTCTGCTTGGAAGCCATTACTGGACTTTTTCCAAGAAACTGAAAGAAGATTTTAGGATTTGATCATTAGAATTATACGGGACTATCAAAATAATGTAGACAAATATTCACCATAAAGTGAAGAGACTGAATTTCCCTTGATGGCACTAAGCTTTCATTTCCTATAGGGGATGAGGCTAACTAGGCTGCCTGCTCTGCCAAAACAGAGAATTTCCAGAAAAAGCTTTTCTTCTCACCTGCAGAAAAAGAGTCCCTGTGAGGAAGAAGAGCACCAAGGCCATCGACCCACAGCCTTTCCACAGCAGTGGCCTTCGTCCATACCGTTCAATGGCAAATATCTGAAGAGGAGAAATAAGGGAACGTGCCAGTGTCAGGGAAACATGGGTGGATTTCCTGACATCTGAATTCAAATAATAGGTATCAAGCAGAACCTTTATATTCAAATTCAAAACAATAGAAATGACATTTTGGTCCTTTTTTCCTTTTTGAGAATTGTAGACCCAGCACCTCTGGTCTCTCAACCCCATGGAATTGCATGGTCAAATTGGTCCTTGTGGGAGTCTGATGGCTCCAGTTGGCTTGACAGCCCAATCCAGATTGGGATTTAGCCCAGGAGCGTGTGCCTCCCCCTCCAAGGGGTCCGAGGGTGCCAGGCCTGCCAGGATGTCAAACGTCAGGGGACCTAGGCTGGCCAAAGGCTTTGCTGAACCTAGCAGGCAGCCCAAAGTGGTCCTGGTGAGAGTTTGGGCTTGCAATCTCATGCTCTAAGCAGGGATGCAGGCTGTGCCTCTGGGGAATCATGGAGGACGGTGTGGGAAGAATAGTGACTGACGCAGAAGAAGATTCATAATAGCAACATAACACTGGAAGAGAAGGGAGGTTTTCAGAATAAAATGGACTATTTAGAAAGGTCTTACACAGAGGAAAGACGAGAAGAGCTCAGAGAAGCCGATGCCCAGGCAGACATAGGGGATAAGTCTCTCTTCTAAACCTGCATTGTGAAGCACTTCAAAAGCATAGAAATAAACCTAAGTAGGAAAAAGGAGATGCTCATAGTTGCCAAGAAGCAGTAAAGACCTGCCCCTGCCCCAGAAGCTCAGTGCTACGGTCCCTTGTGAAGGTCTGCATTTAGCAGTGGCTGCTGTCATTTTCTGCCCACCTCCACCCCCAATTTGCTCACAAGACTCTACAGCAGTGGTTCTCAACCTGTGGGTCGGGACCCCATTTGGGGTCAATCGACCATTTCATGGGGGTCGCCAAGCAAGGCTGTCTGCCATTTTTTTTGCCCACCATTTTTTCCCCTTTTCCGGCAGGTGCCTTACCTCCCTTGGGCTGGGCCAGCTGGTGGTCAGTCTGCTCCATCTCTGCCGCTTGCCAGCTACGCCTCGGCAGGCACAGGGGGCGGAACCACGCATGCGTGGTGCTCCCGGGCAGGGAAAGTCCTCGACTTACGACCGGTTGGGTAGTCCTCGACTTACGACCGGTTTAGTCCTCGACTTACGATCGGTTTAGTCCTCGACTTACAACTGGTTGGGGTCGCGGCATTAAAAAGGTTGAGAACCACTGCTCTACAGAGAGGGCTGCGACTGGCCCACTCCTCCTGGAAGCAGCAGCTCAAACTCTCAGACTGTAGGGGTGGCGGGTGGGAGGAAATTGGGGGGGGGAGCAGCTGAAGGGCAAATGTGCCAAAGCTGGCCAAGCTTGTAACCCGAGACTGGTCCTCCTTCCTACAGGGCACTGTTGTTGTGCCTGCAGATCCCTGCTACCCTCCGAGATGGCTGGTGGGCAAAAGACCCTTTGCCTCCCCAGACCAATATGCCAGGCTCTCGCAACATGGGGGCTGGCTTAAAAGAAGTGGCATTTCCCCCTCTTAAAATCCTTGAATGACAAAAATTAAATAATTAAATAAAAGTGTTGAATTGTCCCCCAGTGAGTTGGCCGCAGCAAGTTGGCCATGGCAAATCATCCCATTCTGCAGCAGTTCTGCCTCAGGGCTAACAAAGTTGGTTCCCCCCCCCCCAAAGTCTCCTTCTCTTCTTGCAAGGATTTCAAGAGGAGAAAATGCCACTTCTTTTAAGCCAGCTCCCATGTTGCAAGATCTTGGCATATTGGTCTGGCCAACTTGCCTCGGCCAACTCACTGGGGGACAATTCAACACTTTTATTTAATTATTTAATTTTTGTCATTCACATTTCATTTTGTTTCTCCTTTTGCATCCTTTCTTTAATGATTCTATTCTGTTTATTTGATACTTTGTAACTTTTGTTCCATGGCAAGTTGTCCCACGGCGAGTTGGCCGCAGCAAGTTGGTAGTGGTAAATTGGCCACAGCAAGTGGATTGTGGTGAGTTGTTCTAGGCTTGAACCGCTGGAGGGCAGCCCAGGAGATGAGCGGGAGAAGGCCTTGTGTTGCGCTGAGACAAAACCATGGACTCCAGGGTGAAAAACAAGAGAGGGACTGTGTAGTTGGGCTTTTGCCCAAAGTGGGGCCTGGAGGAATGCCTGGCTCAGAAGGACCTCTCCAGCCTCTTGCTGTTCCTCCAGTCTTGATCAAGATGGCATGCTGGTGGCAACAGGATTTGTGAAATTTTGGGAATGCCCTGCTGTCGTTCTGCCTTCCTAATTTATTTTTTGTGTTAACCTTTCCATATTATAACCCCAGTTTGTCTCCCTCCAGATGTTGTCATCTGTTTCCCTAGCCTGATTAGCCACCCAGGCCCCCTTCTTTAAGGAGCTTTGCTGGAGAAGCCTGGCAGTTTCTAGGCTGCAGGCACCAGCTGGTTCTCCCTCCGTTCTGGGGAGATTGTGTGAGGAAGGGACACTTAACTGCATTGATGCCACAGAGCTGCACAGTGACAATGACAGCCATCAGGATGATCAGTTGCTGGCGAAGCGATGCATCATAGAGCAACTGTCCTGGCCAAAGCACTTTGCTTCTTTGCCCTCCTGGGGCCATTTCTTTCTTCAGCTCACCAAGCTCTTCCTGGTGATCCCCTTGGCCCCACAGCTGGTTCATTGCTGGGGAAGCAGAAAAGATGCTAGGTCACAAAGATTAGTCAAGTTGTTTCTGGGCAGCAGCACCCTTTTCCCCACAGCCAGAAAAGCCTTACAGGCCACGAGAGCCACAGAGAAGCAGTTCTCATCCTTGCAGGCAGCTGCCCCAACCTCTAAGGCAGGAGTGTCAAACTGGCGGCCCACGGGCCGGATGCATCACACACAGGCCACGCCCACCCAGCTCCACAAAGGCAAAAAACATCATGCTACATCACGATATGTCACGTGATACGATCAGGTTTGACACCCGTGCTCTAAGTGGTCCCTGGGAAAGGAGCCCACGGAGGGGGGGAGCTGGCCTCATAATGCACTGGCTTGTTCCTATAGCTCAGTGTTTCTCCCCCTCAGCAACTTTATGATTTGGGGCTAAGGAATTCTGAGAGTTGAAATCTTTAAGTTGCTGGAGTTGAGACACCCTGCTCTAGCTCACAGCTTGCTAAGGAATGGGCTCGTTGGATAGAAAAACAAAAATGTTTGAACTGCCTGATTCTCTGGTCTTATGGCTTATGGACTTATGCACTGGGAGATTTCACCTGTCTTCCCTGTCTTCCCATGGACCCGCCTTAGCAGAGGACAGATGTTCAATCTGTTTTTTGTCTTGGGCCAGTGGCATGTGATCTGGAGATATTAATATCTATCTCTCATCATGATTAGATCACTCCCTGATGGCTTTGTAGTTCTCCACACTGGTCTCTGATGTAGGAGCCTGGAAACACTCCTTTGGTCCACTTTAGGTACCTAAAGGACCATACTGGGTGTCAGAACCTATTCTTACACTGGGGGGGGGATCCATTTCATTCCTTTCTATTTCTTACTGAGGGTTCTGCCATTCTCCTGAAGGGGAGGGGGGAAGGCTCTGAGGTTTGTTTCTCTGCTTTGCTACAATGTATCCTTTCCACTATTCCTACATACTTGCTCTTTGAACTGTCTCTCCCTTGATGTCAACCTGGAGTGAGAAAGGAATGTGCCTCCGACTATCTGGCTTATCTATCACTGCAGAAGGGAAGGTGCGAAGACCCAACAACCTCATCACAAGCATGGGAATGACTCCATTATCAGCTCCTTTCCCACAGCAGACTTAACACCTGAGGATTGGCCCATTCAAACTGACTGGATGAACTATTGGGGTGGGGTTTGCTTGGGACTCCTTTAACCTATTGATCTGAACGGGAAACCCTCAGATCCTGCTTATTATGCCTGCTATCAGCTTCTCCTAATAAAAGTTCCTTTTGGGAAGAAACTGTTCCAAGAATCCTGCTTTCTTGGGATGAGGTTTTGAAGTGGGCTCTGACACTGGGTTTCAAAAGGACCTTGGGATTGTTCTTGAGGGTCTCGTACTATGAATGAGGCCTTAGTTGTTGCTTGGAATGATGGTGGACAACAGCACCCCTGTACCACATTATTCCCGGGTGGCCTGTTCATAGATCTTGTGGTGCATCCCGGTTTTTAGAAAAGTTCCAGGAAATGAAGCCTCCAAAAAGGCTCCTCAAGGAGTACATCAGATAAAACACATGTAAGGACCTCTCTTAAGGATAATCCTGTGGTAGTAAGAACATCAATCACTGCAATTTTTCTGTTCTTATGACAGCCACAGATTGCAGGCCAGCAGGTCTGTCCAAGATCATCCAGATGAGGGAAGGGCCAGATGAGGGAAGGGATTATTGAAGGATTATGTTCCATAACTGTCCTCTCATTCTGCTCATTCACATTGAGCAGAATTCTTCTAAGTACCTCCCAAATATATTTAGCCAAATAAGCTGCTCTTGTTGCCTTTCCCTTCAACATTCAGATAACGTTCTTGTGGCACAGCACATTCCGGACCCTTCCAAAGAAGCACTAGATAATGACAATGAAGACGATGATGGTGATGATGCAGAGATTGGCAGAGAAGCTGAAGTCTCCGCCACCTCCAGCTCCTCAATCCTGGCCAGTCAAAGGTTTGGACAACACATTTGCCAAGACCGGCCCCACCCTGGTCATTCTGTGGTGAGACCAATCTTTCTAAGGACAACTCACCTTTCAGGCAGCCTTCCTCATCTCCCTCCTGGATTAAGAGATAAGGAGGAGATTCAGGGAAGAAGGGCAAGAGGAGCAGCTGGAGGAAGGCCGCCACACCAGGAAAGGCCAGCAGCAGCGGCCAGGACAGATCGGTTCCCAGGAGCTCCCTGGAGAATAGGAGAATGGAGGTTGGGGGTGGAGGAGCAGCCCCCTCCCTCTTTCCTCGTCTGCTCCTTCTGTACCTGAGTCCCAAGATTTGGCCCAAGCATTTCCCCAGAGACCAAAAGAATCCAGAGGTAGCATTTGCAAGTCCTCTCCATTTCTTGGGGGAGATTTCTCCAATGTACTGAGAATGAATGGCCAGGCAGAAGCCTAGAAGGAAGGGAAGGAGAAAGGAAGGACCATCAGAAACTACTGAAATTTGAAATAATCACACAGTCACGGGAGCAGAGTTGTTTGCTGACTTAGGCAGATGGCAAGAGCTGCATCAGATCACCAGGGCACCCCGAAGTTTTTCAGTGGAGAGTCCAGAGAGTGCTCATGTCACAAGTTTTAACTTTAATGCATGAATTGGGAATGTCTAGTCTAAAGAAAAGAACTGAGAGGGGCATGATAGAAGTATTCCAGTATTTGAGAGGTTGCCACAAAGAAGAGGGGGGTCAACCTATTTTCCAAAGCACCAGAGGGCAGGACAAGAAACAATGGTGGGGAACTGACCAAAGAGAGAAGCAACCTGGAATTAAGGAGAAACTTCCTAACAGTGAAGACAATTAACCAGTGGAACAGCTTGCCTCCAGACGTTGTGGGTGCTTCATCACTGGAGGTTTTCAAGAAGAGATTGGACAGCCACTTGTCTGAAATGATATAGGGTCTCCTGCTTTAGTAGGGGGTTGGACTAGAATACCTCCAATGTCCCTTTCAACTCTATTATTCTGTACGTTGGAAGGACAGAAGAGCCCTGGTGGATGCAGCCAATGGCCCTCTTCTTCCAAAGGCTGACCAGCTATTGTCCCCCATGAGAATCAGTGGATGTGGGCACAGCAACAGCAGCCTTCTCTCTTGGGGTTCCCTGGCAAGCTGGCTGTCATGTGGCAGGAGACTGACTTTGGGCCCCTGGGCTTTTTCCAGAGAATATCCAAAGCCACATTAAAGCCGAGTCTTCTAAGGCTTCTTACCAGCACTTATCCCGTAAGCAAATCGTCCAAGCAGAACCATTTCAAAGCACTTGGCTCTCTTGCTGCAGACCATGACTAGGGAAGTCAGGATGACCAGGAGGTCTGTGCTCAGCTGGCATTTCTTTCTGGGGCCCAAAAAAGGGGTAGGAAAGAAAATTAGCCACCTCCCTGCCTTGGGCTGCCTTGCCTACAAGCCTGGTTCATGGGGCTGGCTCCATCCACTGCTCCCACCAAGCCCTGGACCCCCAGGGACCACCTGCTGGGAAGGCCTCCTGCCAGCAGACCGGGAAAGTTGCCTGCCCGTCTAAAAGCGACAGGGAGTTAAATCACAAGTGTGGGAGAACAAGGTTTAAGAGTGAATCAGGGTGACTTTCTAAAACAGAGGCAGCATCCCAGATACCAACAGGGCCAACGGTCCTGTGGAAACATGAACAGTTCAAGAAACATCCCCTTTTTAAATCCCTTTTGCATTTGTATTTGAATAAGCCCATTGATTTCCTATATTTATTAGACCAAAAGAAAGTTTATAAAACAACTTCAAGCTTCTGAGTTTCAAGAGGCCTGCAGCTGTTTTGTGGCTCTCCTGTTGGCTTTTGGCTCCCCTGTTTCTTCTGGACCAGCAGCCTGGCAGTTTCTTTTGCAACTGGTTGATGCATTTGTTTCTCAGCAATGCCCCAAGGAGGCTGCCAGGTTTCTGGCATCTTGTAGGGCACACCTACTTCCCGTATTTCATGGTCAGGAATCCGCTGCAGAGACATCCCAGCAGGCCTCCTATTCCATAGACAGACACAGCAAATGACCACAGGAAGAGCAGCGTCTTTTCACTGAGGGGGGCTCCAGAGCGCTCCAGCCAGGTTTCATTCATAAACCTCTTGATGTACTGAGAACAGAGGGAAGAAGAGATGTCAGCCAAAATGGTGATGATGGTGATGGGGATTCTTTTCCAGGCTAAATTACTGTTGAATTCCTCAGCAGAACAGGAAGCTTTTTGCCCCCCAAAGCTGTGGCTGACTGCATTGCACACCAAGCCTACAAGCAAGTCCTGCAACGTGAAAGTGTCTGAGCAAGCCCTGCTTTACTCTTTGCAGATAAAGTGAACCTAATTCCAGCAATGGCAGGAGGGGGGTAGACCTAAATGGTCCTTGTAATATTTTTAAGCAATACACATCCATAGTAACAGGTACTATTTTTAAAAAAGAAAAACCTACGGTACCATCTGCCATAATAAACAATCCCTTTGAAAAGGAATTTGTAGCATTTCAGTATGAGGCCCAAAACCCATGAAAATGTCAAACTTGAGGCTGGAGAGTTGGCCTGACTATTGGGCTATTGATGCATTGGTTATATGGCCAATGCATATCATCAATGGTGCTGGACACTTAGTTTGTGCAGCCTACATTATTGCTGCTGTTGTTGCTTTTAACCAGGAATATCTCAACTGTCAGGTGGTTGGTTAGGATGTGAGAGCCTAAGTCCCAGCCTCATGGGCAGGTGGGTTTTGGTCTGCTTCCTTTTGATGGGCACATATCCTCAAGTCCATTTGGGCTTGGCTGCAAGAGAGACAAGGCATCTGGCTTGCACAGAACAGGCCTATCTGCCCAGAATGTATTTATGTATTTATTTAGCCAAAGCACTACTGCTGTTGGAGGAGATTGATTGATTCATGTGGAAAATAAATGAATAAAATCTTGGCTGGCAGCTGAAGTGGGTGGGATGAAGCAAGGTCCACATCCATGCAAGTTCTGGCCTGATTGATGTGTATCGTTTGCAGAGAAAGTGTTCTGGCTGAGCAGTCAATGGAACTTCATGGAGGAGCCCCATGAAGTGGGAGGGAGCCACTGATTTGCACCCGGTTGGCAGATGAGCTTCTCATGGCAAAAACAAAGATTAAAAATCATCTGGCTGACTTAGATAGCCCATAATAGGGAGCAGGGAAGCTGAGGTTTGGAGGCAGGGCAGCTTTTCTGCCAGATCACAGCCTGGAAAAATGCACACTATCCAGCCGTGAGGAAGAGCCCAAGTGGCCCTGCTTGAAGCACCCGGGGCTTAGGACCAACTCCATCCTAGAGTTAAGGAAAGGGCAGGCTGTGGAAGTAAATTCAAAGGGAAGCAGACCAATCCTGCCCCTTCACTTCCTGACTATTTATTTCTCTCCTGACTGGGGGGTTGCCCAGCACTTTGGCTGTGACCTATCAGGGTAAGCTGCTAATTGAAAGCTATCCTGGCCTTAGAGTTCACTTTATCCTATCAGCCAAATACATCGATTAATATGGAGATGAAGGGCTTGCAATCCACTTTAACTTGCTTTCTGTCTTCATTTGACTTCATCTGACTTAGAATGACTCCACTCAACACACAGAAAGGGAGCTGTCTTAGTGCATAGCAGTGGATTGTGGACACACATATGGTGGTCTTCTGGGTCCAGAAAAGATAGGAAGCAGCCTTGGACGAATCCTAACCCTAACCCTGATGGGTGCTATCTGGCACAGGGGTCTCTGCCTCCCAACCCACCAACAAGATATCTCTTACCACAGAGGGGTAACTGATCACAGAAATCTGGTAGCCAACGACAAGGTTCCCACCAATCCCCAGGACAAGGATCATTTGAAAGAACTTCTGGTAATGACCCTGTAGGGAGAGCAAAGCACAGATAAGAACCAGAACAAAAGTTGCCCCCAGTCAGCCTCTTTCAGAAGGTCTTCCAACCTTGGGAAACCCTAAAAATATATTCTGGGGTGGGGAGAGAACATAGGGGGATTCTGGGCTAGAGAATCCCAAGTTCTGTGATTAGGAGGAATCATGTTCAGAAGTTGCTTAGAATTGTTTTCCATGGCAGGAAACATGATGGGTCATTAAATATAATATCATAATTAATAATTATAATCATTAATATCATAATGATGATGGATCATTAAAGAGAGATCCAACCTAGAACTAAGGAGAAATTTCCTGATAGTGAAAACAATTAACCAATGAGCAGCTTCCCTCCAGAAGCTGTGGGCACTCCATCACTGGAGGTTTTCAAGAGGAGACTGGACAGTCATTTGTCCAAAATAGTATGGGATCTCCTGCCATAGATAGAGGATTGGACTGGAAGATCCCTTCCAACCCTATTATTCTGTGTTCTATGTTCTATGGGTTTTGATGATTATGGCTTATAATTACAATTATTTTTGAAGTGAATGATTGAGTAGCAGGAAGGGCCTACAAGAGAGAAGAAGGGTAACAACTATACCAAGGTAGAATGGGTCCATAGGACAAGAGAACCAAGTAGGATGGTGGGTAAATGGCAGCTAGACTCTCTTAGAAGCAACCAAACAACCATGAGGCCATCCGCAGCATGTTGGGTAAAGCCACAGAGCCTCACAGGAATGTGCCATCCTGGCCCTGGAGCCAGACGGTGATCCAGAGGTGGACTTACTGGTGCAGGATGGGATAGTAAACTTTTGTGCTCCATGTCCCTCAGCCACAGACTACCACATTTACTGCCTGCTTACTTACCAGGTTGGAGAAGAGCCCTTGCATCCTCCTGTAATTCCTCTTCACTCAGGAGCTTTGAGTGAGGAAGGCCAGCTGGTTTTCATTCCACTGAGCCTTGGAAACCATGAGAGCAGAGTGATCATTAACCCTGCCTGTTTCTGTTCTTCCTGCCCATTGGGCAAGACAAGATTGTTGGATAATTCATCCATTAATATATGCAGAATAAAAAAGTGGAATGCTTGATGGCAGAAAGTTGAAACTCATCTAGGCATGAAATCCAAATCTACCAGCCTACCCCCAGGCTTGCGAGGCCAGTGCTCCTGCTATGCTTTTTGGTTCTAATTTGTTGGAAATCTAAACCTCTTTTGATTCCTCACCACCTCATGTCCTACTGACCTTTAGGGGGCAGCTGAAGAGGGGATTTCCACTGTGCCCCTTCTGTGTCTCCAAACGTCACCTTCTTCCACCTTTCTTCCCAGGCTCATGCATGGACACACTCTCCAGCACTCTCTTCCTTGGGGGACGGGGTGGCCAAACCCTATTATATATTTGCTGTAAATAAAACTCCTTCCTGTTCTAGATATAAAATCTGCTCACTAATCCTTGCCAATTTGGTTCAGGAAAGCTCACAGCTCCAAAATACTCTCCTGCCTGAATGTACAATATGGATTCCAGTTCACGAGAAGGCAGAGAACATTAGGGCTGTCCTAGAAGCAAACCAGGTCATAACTAGCAGTCAGCATGGGTTTATTAAAAACAGATCATATCAAACCAATCTGATCTCATTCTTCGATAAAGTAACTAAAGCTAAACTAGTTGACCAACAAAACGCAGTGGACGTAGTATACCTAGATTTCAGTAAGGCATTTGATAAGGTAGACCACAATCTGCTGCTTAGTAAGCTAGAAAAAGGTGGAATAGACACCACCACCACCAGATGGATCTGTAGCTGGCTGACAAACCGTACTCAACGAGTAGTCCTCAACGGCACTACATCCACATGGAGAGAAGTTAGCAGTGGGGTACCACAAGGTTCCGTCTTAGGCCCAATACTCTTCAATATCTTCATCAATGACTTAGATGAGGGAATTGAAGGGGAACTCATCAAATTCACAGATGACTCCAAACTGTCAGGAGTAGCCAACACTTCAGAAGACAAACTCAGGTTGCAAAAAGATCTCGACAAACTTGAACAATGGGCCCTATCCAACAAAATGAGTTTCAATGTGGAGAAAAACAAAGTTCTACACTTAGGCAGGAAAAACCAAAGGAACAAATACAGATTGGGCGAGACCTGGCTTGGATGCAGTAACTGCGAGAGGACCTTGGAGTCCTAGTGGACGATCAATTAAACATGAGCCAGCAGTGTGCAGCAGCAACCAAAAAGCTAATACAATCTTGGGTTATATAAACAGAGGCATAGAATCAAGTTCACGCGAAGTACTAATACCACTTTATAAAACCCTAGTAAAACCATACCTTGAATACTGCAGCCAATTTTGGTCACCATATCACAAAAAAGATGTTGAGAGTTTGGAAAAAATTCAGAGAAAAGCAACTAAGATGATCAAAGGCCTGGAGACCAAAATGTACGAAGAACGGCTGCAGAATCTAGGTCTGGCTAGTCTAAAGAAAAGAAGAAATAGGGGGCAAATGATAGCAGTGTTCCAGTATCTGAGGGGCTGCCAGAAGGCAGAGGGGGCACAGTTGTTCACCAGAGCACCAAAGGGAAGGACAAGAAATAATGATTGGAAGCTGATCAAGGAGAGAAGCAACCTAGAATTAAGGAGAAACTTCCTGACAGTGAGGACAATCAACTAATGGAACAGCTGGCCTCCAGTAATTGCGGGAGCTCCATCATTGGAAGTTTTTAAAAAGAGACTGGACAATCATCTGGCTGAGATGGTATAGGACCTCCTGCTTAAGCAGGGAGCTGGACTAGAAGACCTCCAAGGTCCCTTCTATTCTATTCTATTCTATTCTATTCTATTCTATTCTATTCTATTCTATTCTATTCTATTCTATTCTATTCAACAGAATCACAGCATTGTTGAGTTGGACCATACTATAAGGATCATCTAGTCCAGCCCTCTGCAGTATGGAGGAAAACCTTTTAAACCAGGGGTCCCCAACCCGTGGGCCATGACTTACTAGTGGGCCATTCGGAAGTATGCTGTGCAAGTGGTGGGTGAGCATGCATGTGCACATGAAGTGCCACTTGCATGAGTGGCGGATGCTCATACTTGTGAATAGCTCCATTTGTGCAAGTGGCAAATGCTCATGCTCACTCATGTACCCGCCTGTCAAGATCCAAAGAAACCTATTTCACTTCATCCATAGTAGCAGGGGGAAGGGGGGATGTTTAGAGTACTCAATGCACCTCTGAGCCAGCCAGCCTGGAAATCAAGGTCATCGAAGAAACCGTTGGCTGAGAACTAAGATAATTCTCATAACAAAGGTCTGATACTTAATTGGAGGGTGTGACTTATACTGTCAGGGGAAAGGGGAGTTTCTATTCTTTTAATTTACTGTCTGGCACCTTTTTTTGCCAGAGCTGTTTTTACATTAATCAGTGCTGATATGCTGTACTCAATAAAGTTTTGCATTAGAGATTGGACTGTCTCAGCTGTGTTAACTCTGTTGGAATCATCAGTCAGAACCTTGATACTAAAACAGCTCTCATCAATTTCATTCAACAAGGGGTCCTGAGCCCCTGCGGCCCATCTGGCAGATCCTGGAGGGGACATGAAGACTCAGGAGAAGATGCCTGAAATGGAGCAGGAGGAGGAGAAACTGGATGGTGCTGGGCTAGGTGGGGTGAGCAGAACTCCAGTTGAGACCTGTGGGGAAGCCGGGATGCCAACCTCATCTACTCACCCGAAGTTGAAGGCAGAGGTTGGAACTACCAGTGGCACTGGGGTGGACTGGAGCGACTGAGGTCATCCATCTACGGTGGAGTGGTGGAGTGAAGGAGCATGGAAGGCGGCTGAAGCTGAATTCCCGCTAGCCTGTCTGGGTCCTGAATTCGCCCGAGCCCAAGGTTGGAAAAAGAGAAAAACCTCGGACTCAGAAGGACCGATGGAGCGTACATGCTTGGCAGTGGGCAACAGCAGATGGGTCGAGCAGCTGAGGGAGAGGTTCAGCAGCCTGGATGTGCGGGGAGGAGAATCACTTCAGAGATTGGACCTAGACCCCCAAGTGTCCCGGTCAACCTGTGATGGCTACTCTGACTCCCTCGTCTCAACCCAGAATGAGGACCATGATTGCAGCAGCTGGGGGAACAGCCTGGCCCCCACCAACTAACTTTCCACAACCTGGCCCAAACCCACGATTCAGAACTGCTGGTCCACAATGGGCAGCCGCTCCTCCTCTGGAGTGGCTGGTCAGCAACCGCCACAGTGGCTGATGTTCAGCACCCAACCCTGGATTTTCCCTCCCAGAATGGGGTAGCCACTGCCAGGGTACTGGGGAGCCCCCAGGCTCCCACTCTCTCCAAAATTTAAGGCCACTTTTGACAGAAACCCCAAGAAGCTAGCCTTTTTCCTCAACCAGGGTAAATACTTCTGCCAAATCTCAGTGTCAGGGCCCACTTCAAAACCTCATCCTAAGAAAGCAGAACCAGGAACTCTTTCCAGAACTCCTATGTCAATTGCATTCCTCTATCGGATATGATGCGCTGTGGGGCTCCATGCAATCAATATATGTGTTAAACAAACAGTTTCGTGAGTGTTTTTGCTGTAGGGATCTTTGAGCAGGGGGTAAAATGCACTTGTTTGGAAAATAGGTCTGTTACGACCCAGATTACTGTGTTCCTGCTGCTATCTGGTATTCCATTATAAAGTCCATAGAGATCTCTTTCCAAGGTGCCGAGGGGGTTGCTACCAGCTGTAGCAATCCAGATGACTTCCCTTGTAATCTTTTTGCTGAAGCACAAATTGGGCATAGCTTTCAATGTCCTTCTTTATTGACGGCCACCAGAATTGCCTTTTAACTAGGTGTAGTGTTTTCACAAACCCAAAATGACCTGCAGATTTTGAATCGCGGCAAAATTGCATGAATGCCAGTCTCTGACTTTTAGGTATGTATAGTTTCTCTCTCACCCAGGGTAGACCATCTGTGATAGTGCAGAGGTTTTTGTGGCTTAGGAACCATTTCTCGGTTTCTAGTGCTTTTCTAAATTCAATTCCTGTGGCTTTTGGAGTTTAGCTTGTGCTTGGGTAGTTACTCATGCTGCTAGTTGCATTTCTGGCATGAGCGGCTTTGTTACACTAGTCCGAGTGCTATTATATTGTGGCATTCTGGATAATGCATCTGCCAAGAGATTTTCCCCCTCCGGCAGGCGTTTCAGTGTGAAATTGAAATAGTGGAAGTGTTGTGACCACCGTGCTTGCCTAGGGGTAATTTTCCTGGGCATTTTTGGTGCTTCCAGGTTCTTGTGATTGTTCCCCTCCAAAAAGTGCCGCCAGGTGAGGAGAGCCCATCGTACTGCGTATGCCTCCTTTTCCCAGACTGCCCATCTCTGCTCTGTTTCGGTGAGTTTTCTCGATGTGTATGCACAGGGCTGTAATGCCCCTTTGTCGCTCTCTTGCAACAGTACAGCCCCCCACTGCTACGTCACTGGCGTCTGCCTGAATTACAAAAGGCTTGTTGGTGTCAGGGTGCCTTAAAACTGGTTCTATGGAAAAGAGCTTTTTCAGCCTCTCGAATGCGGCTTGGCATTCTACTGTCCATTTTAATGGCTGGCTTGGCTTGGGTTTTCCCTCCCCTCTGGTTTTTAGTAAGTTTGTGATTGGTAAAGCTATTTGGGGAAAGGAGGGAATAAATTTTCAGTAGAAGTTGGCGAATCCCAGGAAGCTCTGCAATTGCTTCCTCATGCAGGGCGGTGCCCATTCAAGCACTGCTCGGTCTTTCTCGGGGTCCATTTTTATGCCCTCTGGGGATATGCGGTATCTCAGATAATCTATTTTATCCTTATGA